ATATATATATATATATATATATATATATATATAGAACATTTTATTTTTCTACAGAAAACATTCCAATCATATTAAAGTACACAGACATTTTTCCCTAACAGTCATTCAAAAATGCTGCAGGGATTTTCTTTTCAAACTCTTTACACATTTGGAGATATTTGTACAAGTCATGGATGCAAATCTCCCTGCATTCACCATACCTCCTGGCCCAATATAATTCACTATAGAATTTATAAACATTTGCACTTCAGTTGTCAATATAAGGCATAACTGCTTCACAGGATAAATGCACGCAAAAAAGATGTAAAACTAATTACTATAAAGGCATTAAAATGTAATGTGAAACCAATAATAGTTTTGGAGGCTAAGAGAAAGCCCAAATTATAAAATATAATGGACTTTGGAAACATATTCAAAGCCCATTTATAATATAATAAAAAAAAATTAACTTTTTTTAAATTACAAAACTGTCATTGATTTTTTAAAACAAATTCAAAACACTTAGAGCATCCACAATCATGCTCTCTATTTTTTAATTAAATTTTAGCTAAAAACATATAAAAGTTATTTTAGGAGCTCTCTATAAAATTTAAACTTCAATCATGCTCTCTAATTTAGGGAGTCATAAATGCTATAACTCTTTTTTGATTGGTCCATCTCTATTATAAAATAAAATAAAAAATAGTTAGCATTAAATAAAGGTTTGAAATACTCATTAAATAAAGCAGTATTAAATTATAAGGAGCCACTAAGAGTCCTTTCTCTCTCCTCAGATTTAGGAGCTCCTAGAGGTCTCCTTATTTTAGGAGGTGGATAGGGAGCATGGTTGGAGTTGTATTTTTACAATTCCTCCCTAAAATTTGTCTAAGAATGTAATTTAGGGAGCCCATTGTGAATGCTCTTAATAAGGTATCAAAGTAATTTAATAATCAATATTAAATTCAATATTACCAACTGTCATTTTTGTGTTTTTATTTTTGGGTTTGTTTATAGAAATTAAATGGTGTAAAATTTGTCTATATTATTAGTGCTAAGAATGAGAATATGACTAAATATCTCTCGTTAAAATGCATGTAATTGGTAATGTAGAACTTTTTAAGGTTAATTAACAACTGGGAGACATTGAAATGTCTGCCTACATTTTCTAATTAGTAAACTGAATTGGCATGTTTGTCCGGCAAAGCTCGTCAAGATAGATTTTGGCGAAATGGATTCCTCGGTGAAATATTTCCAGAGCAATTGTGTCCAGCCAGGTGCTCTGCCGGTGAACAAGCTTCTTTCACGACTGTTAGAGCTTAGTTTGTTTTTAATGAATATTTTATTTTATTTATATTGTAATCTAAGTCTTAATAAGTTTTATTCAAATTAATGCCACAGTAACACAAAAAGGGGCGCTCATACGATAAATGAAAAGACAAATGAATTAACCCAAAGAGGTATGTCCCTCATCCTTGCCAGCATGTTGATCGGGCTGCACCACTGGTGGAGGTAGAAACGGGCAAGCTGTGTCACTGGTGGTGTTACAAGGCGGGCTGTGTCGCTAGTGTTAGTACAAATGGGCCAGGAGGTATGGTGAATGCAGGGATAAAAATATGCATCTGTTGCATAGCCTGATTCCAAGACAGCTGAAAAGGCTCCAACATGCGCTCAGCCTCTGCCGTCAACTCCTCCTCCAATTGCCACATGATGGATGCTGATGCCTGAGAAGAAGGCGCCTCGAGGTCACAAACCCACCTAGATCCCAACTCAAGAATCTGTTGCCCGGAATTAAGACCTAATGCCGACGTCATGATATGCTCCTTCCCCAATCCTGCACGATAGTCATTCTTGTTGGTGAGCATCTCATCCTTTAAATATAAAATAAACTTAAACGTATTTCAATTAGAAATTAATTTACAGATGTATATAATATGTGATATAACAAAACTCAAAAGTGTAGCTGTAGCAACCCGATAAGGAAACGTGCATACCGTGAAGGTCATAAGCAAATGGCTAAGGATAAACTGAGCCAATAAGAAAGTGACTGGAAACCATCCATAAGCAACAGATTAACAGAACAACGAAGTTGTCATTCAAAACATCCACAAAGATAAACCAACATAAGCATGAGCCTAATTCACAAGATCAAGGAGTACCAAATTCATCAGAAGAGTAGCAATATCTCTCAAAATACAAACCCAAGATCCAAAATGACAAACTACCATAGAGTCTACAGTCACTACAAGCGATAAGAAGCCCTAAGCTAAATATCCAGAGAACAAAATCAACTCAAGTGTGAGGATCATCATCCTCTGGACTTTGGTGCTCCAATCGCTCCAAAGTTGCTTCAATACCATCAATTCTGTGCTCCAAATTCGCTCCCATTCCATCAATTCGGTGCGCTAATCCAGTAAAATGCTCATCCAAACACTTCAGTATGTCATTGCACTGAGCTGTGATTGACTGCATAATCTTAGCAGAGTCCATCGATGGCTGAGAGGAAAACAACACTGACCTCAGAAACTATACGAGTACTAAGACACCCAAAGGGCAATAACTACTTCCCATGATAAAAGTGAGCAAAGAGGTGGATCACCTAAAACTATAGAGACATTAAAATGTAATGTGAAACGAAGAATATTTTCAGGGGCTGAGAGAAAACATGACTGCTGATATTTTTTGCAAAAGCATGAGGCCAGAGGGATATATATGACCAGAAACAAAATAAATCAAATACAGTGTAAATGACAGATTCAATAAATACAGTTAAACACAATCAGAAGAATGTTACCTTTCGACGTGCATACGAAGGTTACATACAATCAAAATGTAGCAAATTAAACATACCTCTGTACACTGTTGAACTTTTTGATGCAGTTCACCCTCTCGCTTTAGCCATTCAGCTTCTTTCTTAGAAAGATCAGCAACCTATACATACATGAAAGACCGTATACTTGCTGAAAAAGCTAACCAATGAATAATGTAACATATACATTCATCATGTGCATACGTTTGTGTACATATATGATATATGATATCTGACATGCATGTACCCTGCTTCTATATCTATAATTAACTAAATCAGCAAGACGAACCACTTAAGTAAACTGTACTATACAAAATGTGAAGGGAACAAAACAAATTATAAGACATCCAAATCACTTCAGTCACAAAATATCCTTACCTTCTCCTCAAGAGAAGCACACTTATCCTCAAGTACCCGAATCCTCTACAAACAAGAAGAACCCATCATTCCAAATAAATTAACTGAACCAAAATTTTAATTGACGCTCATGAGGTCTAATAATACCTGGCTACGTGGGATCTGACCCTCCTCGCCACAAACCCCAACGACAAGTGGGACATCTATTGCCACACCATCCATGCCTCGCTCTTCTACGGTCCAGGGTACCAACATCTTACGGAGCAGTGGCAGATATACAAACTCGCGGTGTTCGCAGCAACGTCGTTGCCTCCCTTGTTTTTAACATCGTCAAACCAGACAAGAATCAAAATGTAGCAAATTAAACAATACCTCTGTACACTGTTGAACTTTTTGCTGCAGTTCACCCTCTCGCTTTAGCCATTCAGCTTCTTTCTTAGAAAGATCAGCAACCTATACATACAAGAAAGACCATATACTTGCTAAAAAAGCTAACCAATGAATAATGTAACATATACATTCATCATGTGCATACGTTTGTGTACATATATGATATCTGACATGCATGTACCCTGCTTCTATATCTATGATTAACTAAATCAGCAAGACGAACCACTTAAGTAAACTGTACTATACAAAATGTGAAGGGAACAAAACAAATTATAAGACATCCAAATCACTTCAGTCACAAAATATCCTTACCTTCTCCTCAAGAGAAGCACACTTATCCTCAAGTACCCGAATCCTCTACAAACAAGAAGAACCCATCATTCCAAATAAATTAACTGAACCAAAATTTTAATTGACGCTCATGAGGTCTAATAATACCTTCTGTGATTCTTCATCAACAGAAAGAACCTGTGATACGAAAAGTTTCCTAACATCCTTCAACTTGCATTTCTGGTTGCATTGAGGACACTGGGAAGAAGGGAAATGTACAACCATGAATGTCAAAATAAAAAAATAAAATTTTTTCAAATGGTTTGAAAATCATGGGATTGCTAGATAAGCCACTACCTTTCTCGAATTTCTACGCTGTAGCCATTTTGTTATGCAAGACATGCCGTATATGTGGCCGCAGGGAAGACAGCTGAAATCGTTAAACCAAAATTAAATCATAAATAATTGGAAATTTTGACGAGATCACAAGGAATTGAGGGTTCAATTCGAACCAGATGCGATGTCAAACTCCCCATGCTCAGCGCTTACATAGGCGATGATTTGTCAAAAGAAATCTTTAATGACAACATCACAGCTCTGTCGCTCAGGTTCGGGCTTAAGCTTTCGCTTTCTTATAGGTATATGGCGCACTTGAGCGACATGATAACTCCCAGTCCCGATTTCGCGACCTCCTTTTGCCACAGGATTCAAGTCCGAGTTTTCTCAGACAATATTCATATTAATGAAACTGAGAGAATGACGATGGCTGAGAAGTCAATAGCATGCGAGAGGAATAACGTGCGAATGAAATGAGTTTAATAATCATATTTTCTATGTTTGTAATAATATTACTTAGTTGCCTGTTTTAATTTCAATTGATGTAGAAGATTTGATTTTGCACCCTCATTTTGACTTAAGAATCTTCTACTTGGTGTTGAGATTGCATCTTATAATGTCCACATTGGAATTGGAAACATACCTGCGTTTTGGTCCGCTTGTACTTGGCAGCCCCTTCCTCCATCTCCATGTAGAGCACTGATCACATACAATACATACTTTCTAATTATATACATACACACATATATACTTGGCATTTAATACAATTATCAATTTATAATACTTGACTGTAAATTTGTAATGATCAAGATCTGAGATTGTGTTACTAATATAAAGTTTAAAGATACTAAAATACGAACATAAATAAACTAACCATCAGATTTTTCGTCTAAGATTGTGTTACCAGATGCAAATCTTCCTTTGACAGCCCCATGAGCAAATCTTCCTAAAATAATATATATATATAGAACATTTTATTTTTCTACAGAAAACATTCCAATCATATTAAAGTACACAAACATTTTTCCCTAACAGTCATTCAAAAATGCTGCAGGGATATTCTTTTCAAACTCTTTACACATTTGGAGATATTTGTACAAGTCATGGATGCAAATCTCCCTGCATTCACCATACCTCCTGCCCCAATATAATTCACTATAGAATTTAGGCTTTTTATCAAAAATGGTACTTCACGTTTATGAAATTATCACGAATGGTCCTTGAGGTTTTTTTGTGACACTAATAGTCCTTCACGTTTGGACTTTTTATCACAAATGATCCCTGCCGTCAGAAACTCTGTTAAGTGTATGAGGTGGAAGATAAGTGGAGCCCACATGTCCAATCACAATCTCTAGCCAATAAAATGCTGCCAGCTGTCAATAATTTTTTATTTCCTCCTCCTATTCTTCTCCGCTTCTCTCTACCTTCCTCTGGCCCATTTCTCGCTTCTGTTTCACCAGCAATCCCGCCAGCGAGGTGACCAAAACTAGAGGGTAATATTTCTGAAAGGTACACAGCATAATCCGCATCAATCAAGTCTTCCTCTTCGTCTTCTTCTTCTTCTTCTTCGTCTTCCTCTTCTTCTTCTTCGAATTCTTCTACTTCTTCGTCTTCATCATAGTGATTTTCGTCGTCTCGATCGCCATTGTTTTGCATCTCTGCGTCTTGATCCTGTTGAAGTTCCTCGTCTTCGCTGATTTCGATGTACGAAGGATTAGGGTTTGCCATGAGCTAGTTTAGAGCCTACTGTGACCGATGGATCCGCGCCTTAGCGTCGGTATACGTATTCAAAAAAACTCTATCGGCGCCTTGCTAATTAGATTCATCTAATTAGTTTTAATCGGTAAAATAAAACTCTTCATAACTGTATTTTGTTGTTGTTGGGATCTTCATAATTGTATTTGATTTGAGCTCACATTTTGTTTGTTGTCATGGGATCCGAATTCTCTTTATCGTTTTAACCATATAACACCCAAATTAAATAAATAACCAATGTGATTATACCCATTAACTATCTCTATCCTCCTTTCATGGACGGATTCGAACACATCACAATTTGACACGTATGCAAAAATAATTTATCAAAAACACGAAAAGAAAAATCTCTACACACATTTCAATTTGATACTACTTGAATGTTCATACTCATCATCAATCTCCTTAATTTAGAGAGTTAAATTTTACTGGGTTTTCCTCCTCAGTCTTGTGCTTCAAGAAGACACATTCTTAAACCTATGAAGCACTGTTTATTGTTTGCTAAGATTCAGTGAAATTTTACTATTTAGAAAAAAGAAAAGAAAATTGAAAACAGAGATCAAAGAAGCTTCACTGTCAATGAAAATTAACAAAAAAGATACAAGTACAGATTAAAAATAAACCATCTTCGAGTCTTTGAACATTAATTCAAGTTGATACCAATCATAACAGACAGAATGAGGTACAAACTGGGTGATACTTCTCCTTTATAACCAGCAACTGATTAGTGTTGTCTTCCCAGTTCAATCCTTCTATTTAGACGAGCCATATTCAGTGTGATTACGAGAATGAGCCTTTCTTTCATCTTGTTAAGAAACCGGAAATAGGCATTTCTCCAAGACCTTTTTATCACCAAACTGCCAAAAACAGCCCAAAATCCAATAACGAATCCCAGTCCCATGCTTACATTGAACCATATCTTGTCAAAACCATAGTCATCTTCAAATCCGTCTTGTTTAACTTGTGCATCCCCGTCATTGGAAGTTTAAAACTCGGTTGGCAATGGAGGCCCGCAGAGTTATGAGTTTCCTTTAAATATGGTCGGGTCATGGAAGGTGTGGGATTGGTTGGCTGAGCAAAGTCATAGAGGTCATGCTTAAAGGAATTGGACCTGAAAGATGGTTACTTGATAGGTCAAGAGATTCCAATCGTTGCAAGCTTCCAATACTCTCTGGTATTCTTCCTATCAGTTGGTTCCGGGACAGGTTTAAGGCAAACAAGTTTGATAGATTTGTTATCTCTTTCGGAATTTCTCCCCATAAATTATTGCTCGAAGCATCTATAGGCCTCGTTTGGTTCATAGGAAAGGAAGTTTGGGGATGAGAAATCAATTGTTTTCCCATGTTTGGTAAGTCCAAGCATGGGAAATCGTTGCCTTGCATATGGGAAAATAGAGAGGAAAGTGAAGCCCTTCTCCCCCATTGGGTTTTGTTTTCCTCCTTTTGGGAAAGTTTTGGAAAATAAGCCAACATTAAATGCACATTTTTCATGATCATATTGTCCCCATTAAAAATTTAGAATTACAATATAGCATTAAATGCATTCTTTTTTTAATTTGATTTCATATGGGTATAATTGAAAAATTAAACAAATTTTGTTTTACATTCCTACACAAACTAAACATGTGAAATGAAATAAAATGGGAAATGAATCTCCATTTCTCATCTATTGGAAAATAACATGTGAAGTGATTTCCTCTCAAATCCGTTCATGTTTAAGCATATTTAATTGATCACTATATTTGTATTGTCTTCCCTTCACGCTTAAATCCATGTAAGCTGCTATTACCGCACTTAGACAAAGAATCAAGAAGTTGCTTTATCTCCCCACTCACAGAATTGCTTGATATATCTAAACTCTGCAAGCTGTAAAGATTTCCCCATTCCATTTTTGGAATAGGGCCAGTAACTTGACAATCATAGAGATCTATTGTGTCACAAGGGTAGTGATATTGACCAGCCACTGAGACCATGAGTGATGTGAAATTTACATATGGAAGAAATTGAGTCCTTTGGTGAATGGGTACACCAAAGGATATGGGCCCTTAGATTGAGATTAGTGGGATTTGGACTAATCTACACTCTTGGTATGGAAAACCGGGAAACCTGGTATTGGGGAGAAAAACTTCCCTGGCACGGGGATGCCAGCGTCAGCCATCCACGTCAGTATCCCCTGCCAATTAACTCTTGACAGCTGTCAAATACTTTTGAGACTTCTAAATTTTTCTTTCACGCCTGCACCATCGTCCCTGTTCCCCTCTGCAACTCAAAGCCCTCTTTTCTCTCTCATCTCTCCCTTTCTTTCTCTCTCTTCTAACCGATTCTCCCTTTCATCTCTCCCTATCTACAC